TATATGAGTGAGTGTGTGTGAGTGTGTATTAGTATATCAGTGTGTGAGTGTATGAGTGTGTGAGTGTGAGTATATGAGTGTGTGAGTGTGAGTATATGAGTGTGTGTGAGTATATGAGTGTGTGAGTGTGAGTATATGAGTGTGTGAGTGTGAGTATATGAGTGTGTGAGTGTGAGTATATGAGTGTGTGTGAGTATATGAGTGTGTGAGTGTGAGTATACGAGTGTGTGAGTGTATGAGTGAGTGTGAGTATATGAGTGTGTGAGTGTGAGTATATGAGTGTGTGAGTGTGAGTATACGAGTGTGTGAGTGTATGAGTGAGTGTGAGTATATGAGTGTGTGAGTGTGAGTATATGAGTGTGTGAGTGTGAGTATATGAGTGAGTGTGAGTATATGAGTGTGTGAGTGTATGAGTGAGTGTGTGTGAGTATATGAGTGTGTGTGTGTATTAGTATATGAGTGTGTGAGTGTGAGTATACGAGTGTGTGAGTGTATGAGTGAGTGTGAGTATATGAGTGAATGGGGAGCGGCGGTGGAGCGGTTAGCGCGACTTCAATTCCCGCTAACGTCCACCACCAAGAGAGGTGTCACGATTACCTGAAGCGCCCCCCTAGGGCCTCCCTCTCCCCTAGGTCGACTCAGCCTCGAATAGAGCACCCGGTGCGGCGGTGTGTTAACGTGGCCACCGGGGGGAGACAAAGGCGGCCGGGCGTGGTTCCGGCCGCTCACCCCCTCGCCCGCCACAGTGCCGGGGGGGGCCCCTTTGTAAGCGCCGCTTCGCTACTGACGGCCCTTGCCCCAACGGCCCGTCGAGGCTACACGGGGGAGCTTTTTCTGTCGCGGGCGAGTCGATGCGGTGTGGCGTCGCCTCCACGGCGTCCACCCCCGATTGATGTCGTGTCGGCGACTTGGGTTTCAAAATGTTCCCCCAACGTTCCCCCAACGTTCCCCAACGTTCTCCCAACGTTCCCCAAACGTTCCCCCAACGTTCCCCAAACGTTCCCCCAACGTTCCACCAACGTTCCCCAATCTTTCCCCAACGTTCCCCCAACGTTCCCCCAACGTTCCCCAAACGTTCCCCCAACGTTCCCCAACGTTCCCCCAACGTTCCCCAAATGTTCCCCCAACGTTCCCCCAACGTTCCCCCCAACGTTCCCCCAACGTTCCCCCAACGTTCCCCAAACGTTCCCCCCAACGTTCCCCAAACGTTCCCCCAACGTTCCCCAACGTTCCCCCAACGTTCCCCAAACGTTCCCCCAACGTTCCCCCAACGTTCCCAATCGTTCCCCCAACGTTCCCCCAACGTTCCCCCCACGTTCCCCCCAACGTTCCCCCCAACGTTCCCCAAACGTTCCCCCAACGTTCCCCCAACGTTCCCCCCAACGTTCCCCAAACGTTCCCCCAACGTTCCCCCCAACGTTCCCCCAACGTTCCCCCAACGTTCTCCCAACGTTCCCCCAACGTTCCCCCAACGTTCCCCCAACGTTCCCCAAGCATTCCCCCCAACGTTCCCCCCAACGTTCCCCCAACGTTCCCCCCAACGTTCCCCCAACGTTCCCCCAACGTTCCCCCAACTTTCTCCCAAGCATTCCCCCCAACGTTCCCCCAACGTTCCCCCCAACGTTCCCCCAACGTTCCCCCAACGGTCCCCCAAGCATTCCCCCCAACGTTCCCCCAACGTTCCCCCCAACGTTCCCCCCAACGTTCCCCCAACGTTCCCCCAACGTTCCCCCCAAGCGTTCCCCCGAAAAAAACAGGAAGAGGAGGCCGCTGTAGAGCGCACGGAGCGGCTCGCTGGCACGGAGCACACGGCTATTAATAACCACCGGGAGGTCACCGCCACCGGCACCTTGGGCCGTGGGAGTCGGCGCGGCCGTTCATTCATTATTTATCGGCCGTGCGTCTAGTCCACCCCCCCCCCCACTAGCTCCCCACCTTCCCCCCACCGACACAATCTCGCACGAGAACGCGCCATCAATCACGGGCGTGGTGGGGGGCATGGGGCGATGACCTCACAGCCACAACGACACCCCCCACCACCACCACCAGCACCATCGCAAAACCACCAACCCACTGACCCGCCCACACGCCCGCCCACCCAGCCACCCACACACCCACCAACCCGCAATCCCACCCAGCCACCCACCCACACACCCACCAACCCGCAATCCCACCCACCCAGCCACCCGCCCACCCACCCACCCGCCCGCCCGCCCGCCCACCAACCCACAATTCCACCCACCTGCCCGCTCACCCACCCACCCACCCACCCGCCCGCTCACCCACCCACCCACCCGCCCGCTCGCCCACCCACCCACCCACCCGCCCGCTCACCCACCCACCCACCCACCCGCCCGCTCACCCACCCACCCACCCGCCCGCCCGCCCACCCACCAACCCACAATCCCACCCACCCGTTCTAGATTTGAAGCTTTCGTGACTGCAAGGATCCATACTCTTTGGTTCTATTCGGTAAAGTCACGTAGGTAAAAAAATAAAATAACAAAAATCGCGACGTTTCGGCCACAACACAAGCGGCCTTCATCAGGTGAAGGGACCGGACTGTCCACCCGCCCACCCACCCACCCACACACCCACCAACCTGCAAGGCCACCCACCCACCCACCTACCCACCAGCTTGCCCGCCCACTCACTCCCCGCACCCCCCAAGGACGCACTCTCCGATTAATATATATTCTTTGTATTTTTCCCCCCCAGGTAAGCTCCACTGAGCTATGTAACTCTGTTGTCAGAAACGTGCCTGCCCATCACAAACGATAGCTCGACAAATTGGCTTATCGTCACGTGGAAATTGACAGCAGCTGAACAATCCAACCAAACTTTTCATTTCATTATTTTATATTTTGCCAGGTAAGGCCCGCTGAGCTGTGTATCTTTATTTCAGAAGCCACCTGGCCATCACAAACGATAGCTCAGACAAGTGGATTATCATCGTCATCACCATCATCATCATCACCACGTGGAAATTGTATAGCAGTACTCTTTGGTTCTATTCGGTAAAGTCACGTAGGTAAAAAATAAAACGACAAAATTCACGACGTTTCGGCCACAACACAAGCGGCCTTCAACAGGTGAAGGGACTAGACTGCCTCGAAGACTTTTTTTTTTTACTCCAGCGCAGTCTTCGAGACAGTCTGGTCCCTTCACCTGATGAAGGCCGCTTGTGTTGTGGCCGAAACGTCGTGATATTTGTCGTTTTATTTTTTACCTACGTGACTTTACCCAATAGAACCAAAGAGTATGGATCCTTGCAGTCACGGAAGCTTCAAATCTAGAATGTATAGCAGTAGCAAAATACTCTACAGATGCATAGATACCCATAGAGACCCTACTCAGAGAGCCCCATAGACCCACAACAACCCACAGCGACTCACTCAACTCTAAACTAGTTTTATTGTTACCAGGAAAAGCCCCACTGACCTACGTAGCTCTCTGTCAGAAGCCACCTGGCCATCATAAATGACAGCTCAACCAAGTGGCATCTTGTCAACATCATCGTCATCATCGTGGTGGTGGTGTGTCTCCGTGTGTCTCCGTGTGTCTCCGTGTGTCTCCGAGCCACCAGTGATTGGGCACAACCAATCAGCTCACGACCTCCTTCAGATCCTGGTTGCATCACGGGTCTCTATGTGATGCGTCTATGGGTCTCTGTGTGATGAGTCTATGGGTCTCTATGTGATGCGTCTATGGGTCTCTGTGTGGTGAGTCTATGGGTCTCTGTGTGACGAGTCTATGGGTCTCTATGTGATGCGTCTATGGGTCTCTGTGTGATGAGTCTATGGGTCTCTGTGTGATGCGTCTATGGGTCTCTGTGTTATGAGTCTATGGGTCTCTGTGTGATGAGTCTATGGGTCTCTGTGTGATGAGTCTATGGGTTTCTGTGTGATGAGTCTATGGAACTCTGTGTGATGAGTCTATGGAACTCTGTGTGATGAGTCTATGGGTCTCTGTGTGATGCGTCTATGGGTCTCTATGTGATGTGTCTATGGGTCTCTGTGTGATGAGTCTATGGGTCTCTGTGTGATGCGTCTATGGGTCTCTGTGTGATGAGTCTGTGGGTCTCTGTGTGATGAGTCTATGGGTCTATATGTGATGCGTCTATGGGTCTCTGTGTGATGAGTCTATGGGTCTCTGTGTGATGAGTCTGTGGGTCTCTGTGTGATGAGTCTATGGGTCTCTATGTGATGAGTCTATGGGTCTCTGTGTGATGAGTCTATGGGTCTCTGTGTGATGAGTCTGTGGGTCTCTGTGTGATGAGTCTGTGGGTCTCTGTGTGATGAGTCTATGGGTCTCTGTGTGATGAGTCTATGGGTCTCTGTGTGATGAGTCTATGGGTCTCTGTGTGATGAGTCTATGGGGCTCTGTGTGATGAGTCTATGGGTCTCTGTGTGGTGAGTCTGTGGGTCTCTATGTGATGAGTCTGTGGGTCTCTGTGGGATGAGTCTGTGGGTCTCTGTGTGATGAGTCTGTGGGTCTCTGTGTGATGAGTCTATGGGTCTCTGTGTGATGAGTCTATAGGTCTCTGTGTGATGAGTCTATGGGTCTCTGTGTGATGAGTCTATGGGTTTCTGTGTGATGAGTCTATGGAACTCTGTGTGATGAGTCTATGGGTCTCTGTGTGATGAGTCTATGGGTCTCTGTGTGATGAGTCTATGGGTCTCTGTGTGAGTCTATGGGTCTCTATAAATAGTCTATGGGTCTCTGTGTGAGTCAATGGGTCTCTCTTAAGAATCTATGGGTCTCTGTGTGAGCCCATACGTCTCTGTGCGAGTCTATAGTTCTCCGTGTGATGCGTCTATGGGTCTCTGTGTGAGTCTATGGGTCTGTCTAAAGAGTCTATGGGTCTCTGTGCGAGTCCATACGTCTCTGTGCGAGTCTATGGGTGTCTGTGTACGCATGTGCGTGTTGAACTTCTTTGGCACCAGCGTACGTAGCCCAGCGCGCTAACCGGAGGTGCGCGCTGGTGGGTGGTGGTTCACCTCGCTGAAGAGGCTTCCGTTGACGTAGGAGATCCACAGCTTCCACAGGCTGGGCAGCTGAGCGAGCACCAGGTCAGTCAGCGTCTCCACGAAGGTGATACGAGCGGGGACGCGGGCACGGCTCGCTGCGCCACCACGCGGAGACACAGAGACTCACATCGTAGACACAGAGACTCACATCGTAGACACAGAGACTCACATCGTAGACACAGAGACTCACATCGTAGACACAGAGGCTCACATCGTAGAGACAGAGACTCACATCGTAGACACAGAGGCTCACATCGTAGAGACAGAGACTCACAACGTAGACACAGAGACTCACATCGTAGAGACAGAGACTCACATCGTAGACACAGAGACTCACATCGTAGGCACAGAGACTCACATCGTAGACACAGAGACTCACATCGTAGACACAGAGGCTCACATCGTAGAGACAGAGACTCACATCGTAGACACAGAGACTCACATCGTAGACACAGAGACTCACATCGTAGAGACAGAGAGACTCACATCGTAGAGACAGAGACTCACATCGTGGACACAGAGACTCACATCGTAGACACAGAGATTCACATCGTAGACACAGAGACTCACATCGTAGACACAGAGACTCACATCGTAGAGACAGAGACTCACATCGTAGACACAGAGATTCACATCGTAGAGACAGAGAGACTCACATCGTAGAGACAGACTCACATCGTAGACACAGAGACTCACATCGTAGAGACAGAGACTCACATTGTAGACACAGAGACTCACATCGTAGACACAGAGACTCACAGCGTAGAGACAGAGACTCACATCGTAGAGACAGAGAGACTCACATCGTAGACACAGAGACTCACATCGTAGACACAGAGACTCACATCGTAGACACAGAGACCCACATCGTAGACACAGAGACTCACATCGTAGACACAGAGACTCACATCGTAGAGACAGAGACTCACATCGTGGACACAGAGACTCACATCGTGGACACAGAGACTCACATCGTAGAGACAGAGACTCACATCGTAGACACAGAGACTCACATCGTAGACACAGAGATTCACATCATGGACACAGAGGCTCACATCGCAGACACAGAGACTCACATCGTAGAGACAGAGACTCACATCGTAGACACAGAGACTCACATCGTAGACACAGAGACTCACATCGTAGACACAGAGACTCACATCGTAGACACACAGACTCACATCGTAGACACAGAGACTCACATCGTAGACACAGAGACTCACATCGTAGAGACAGAGACTCACATCTAGACACAGAGACTCACATCGTAGACACAGAGACTCACATCGTAGACACAGAGACTCACATCGTAGACACAGAGACTCACATCGTAGACACAGAGACTCACATCGTAGACACAGAGACTCACATCGTAGACACAGAGACTCACATCGTAGACACAGAGACTCACATCGTCGACACAGAGACTCACATCGTAGACACAGAGAGTCACATCGTAGACACAGAGACTCACATCGTAGACACAGAGACTCACATCGTAGACACAGAGACTCACATCGTAGAGATAGAGACTCACATCGTAGAGACAGAGACTCACATCGTAGAGACAGAGAGACTCACATCGTAGACACAGAGACTCACATCGTAGACACAGAGACTCACATCGTAGACACAGAGACTCACATCGTAGACACAGAGACACATCTTAGACACAGAGACTCACATCGTAGACACAGAGACTCACATCGTAGACACAGAGACTCACATCGTAGACACAGAGACTCACATCGTAGACACAGAGACTCACATCGTAGACACAGAGACTCACATCGTAGAGACAGAGACTCACATCGTAGAGATAGAGACTCACATCGTAGAGGCAGAGAGACTCACATCGTAGACACAGAGACTCACATCGTAGACACAGAGACTCACATCGTAGACAGAGAGACTCACATCGTAGGCACAGAGACTCACATCGTAGAGACAGAGACTTACATTGTAGAGACAGAGACTCACATCGTAGACACAGAGACTCACATCGTAAAGACAGAGACTCACATCGTAGACACAGAGACTCACATCGTAGAGACAGAGACTCACATCGTAGAGACAGAGACTCACATCGTAGACACAGAGAGTCACATCGTAGACACAGAGACTCACATCGTAAAGACAGAGACTCACATCGTAGACACAGAGACTCACATCGTAGAGACAGAGACTCACATCGTAAAGACAGATACTCACATCGTAGACACAGAGACTCACATCGTAGACACAGAGACTCACATCATAGACACAGAGACTCACATCACATACACACATCATAGACACAGAGACTCACATCATAGACACAGAGACTCACATCGTAGAAACAGAGAGACTCACATCATAGACACAGAGACTCACATCGTAGAGACAGAGACTCACATCGTAGACACAGAGACTCACATCGTAGACACAGAGACTCACATCGTAGAGACAGAGAGACTCACATCGTAGACACAGAGACCCACATCATAGACACAGAGACTCACATCGTAGACACAGAGACTCACATCGTAGACACAGAGACCCACATCTTAGACACAGAGACCCACATCATAGACACAGAGACTCACATCGTAGACACAGAGACTCACATCATAGAGACCCACAGCTCCCATCATAGACAGAGACTTGCATAGAGGACACAGGCTCACAGCCATAGACTGAGCAGTGATTGAACCCAGGTTCTCAGGTGCATTGCGTTGTTGATGGTCTCAGCTGAGTCACAGGAGCCACTGACTTACGTGGAGATCAATAAACTTACAAAGAAGCACAACACCAACGGAGGGCGGAGGAGCGACGCTCACAACAGAGAGAGGAGCACCGGGCGGCTAAAATGCAGCAAGTTGGCACAGTAGGGGGAACAGGTGGTGCATCTGACACCCATCTCAGTCGGTCAACCCATAGCACCTGGGACAATCCCATGACTTCCTGCCAGCTGGGAGCCTTCGACACTTCAAATGGCCTCAAAGTGCACCTAGCGAGTAGCACCTATGAAGGCCGGCACGGCACACAAGGGGGTGGGTGGCCAGCACCACACCCAGCCGCCTTTGTCCCCCGACTGGCGATGTTTACGCACCGCACCAGGTACTCGTTTGAAGCTGAGTCGACCTAGGGGAGGCCAAGGACCGGTTCAGATAATCGTAACTGATGTTGGCCACCGGCGAACTCACCGCTACACTATCGCTCTCTCGTAGGTACACACATATACATACGTTTACACACGCGTATGCGAACACAACAACAACCGCCATTCGCCACTAAGTGGCGGTGACTTCACCACGACGCTTGTGCCAGGCCATGTGCACCTTGAGGTCACGTGAAGTGACGAACGCCCTCTGGCCGGAGGTCACGGGGCAGACCCAGGTGCCACGGGACGACTGACTGAGATGACTGGCTGATGCACCACCTGTGCCCCCTACCGTGCCAACCTGCTGTGCTTTAGCCACCCGGCGCTCCGCTCGTTGTTGTGAGCGTCGCTCCTCCACCCTCAGTTGTTGTTGGAGGGCGACTGCCTCCAACTGCCCAGTAGCGTCCTTCACGAGCCTCCTCCACATCACTGGTACCAGTCATCAGAAAGTCCACTCAGCTCCACGTCCTCCTGTACGTCACTCCATCTCTTCTCTAGCCCGTGCGTGCCCATTTAGCCCGCTCTATCCGGCCGAACAAAAGCTGTTTCGGCATGCGGTGGCTGGGCATGCGGGCTACATGACCCAGCCATCGCAGCCTTCCCCGCCGGAGGAGCTCACCGATGGGACCTTGCCCAGATCTTTCAAGGATTTGTGAGCTCCTCACACAATCCAGCCTGGTTAAACCCACAATGAATCGTAGGCAGGCCAGCCTAAATGTTTCTAACCAGCGAAGATGTTCCATTTGCAGGGTCCACATTTTGCAAGCATAGAGAAGGGAGGGAATGACCATGGCCGAGAAGACCTGAAGCTTAGTGCAGAGCGACAGACCAGGTAGCTTCCACACAGCGTTACGCAACCGATGAAAAGATATTGCTGCTCAACTGATTCGGAGTGAGACCTCTGCTGTCAAACTGGAGCTGGTCATGAGCACACTGCCCAGATATGGGAAACACTCCACTCTCTCCACAACTGCCCCATCACCAATTGGGAGTTATGGGGGTGGAGTGTCCGATGGTATGAACTACCCAGGCAGGTGCTTAGTTTTGGTGGGGCTGATGGTAAGTCCCCACCTCTTAGTGGCACACTCCAGGTTCAGCAGCAGAGCCTCCAAATCCTCCTATGAGTGAGCAGCTATTACCAAATCATCGGCATACATAACGTGGTTGAGCAATAGGGAGCCATCCCTTGACCGCACCCGGGCATCGATCAGCCTCCCATTGCATCTGTACCAGATGGAAATTCCTGCGGTACAGCCATCAAAGACTTAATGAACTACGTGGTCAAAATAGATGTTTAATAATGTGGGAGCCAGAGGACATTCCTGTTGCACCCCAAGGTGTAAAGGGAATGGCTCTGACTCCCGGCCACGTAGTTTTACCCGGGCCCACTTACCTTAATGATTGTCCTTAATCATCCTGAGCAGAGAGCCAGGGACTCCGAAAGCACAAAGAACAACCCAGAACCCAGGCCTACTGATGGTATCATAGGCCTTGACCAGGTCAATAAAGCAGAGATGTAGGTCTTGTTGGAATTCCCTACACCTCTGCTGTAGCAGAGCGACAGAAAATATGGCATCTGTGCAGGACCGCCCTTTCCTGAAACTGCATTGGGGCTCCGCAAGCCTCTCCCCAGCGTGTCTGGCAAGGCGATGTTGAATAATCCTTGCCAGGACCTTTCCCGGCAAACTGAGACGTGAGATGCCCCTGTAGTTGTTACAGTCTGTGCGGTCCCCCTTCTTAAAGAGGGAGACCACCAGGGCATCCTTCCAATCCTCCAGAACCCGTCCAGTGGTCCAGACTGTTGTTATGATGTCATGTAGGGCAGTCTGTGCACAAACGCTACCCTCCCTCAGCATTTTGCTTGGGAGATCATCTCTGCCCGGTGCCTTTCCTGGTCTCAGACTCCGGATCGCCTTCAGTACTTCCTCAACAGATGGCAACTCAGCCAGCAACTCTTCTTCCAATATTTCTTCCAAAATTTGAGGCATGGCAGCCTCAGCAGGGTCATCCCCACTTTGCCGCATGTTTTCCAGGCTGAGGGATTTCCCCTCCCCAAGACCTCACAGAAATGCTCAGCAAATTTGCAAACCTGTTCCTGGGGGTCAGAGATTGGATCACCATTCTTTCCCTAATGGTAATAGGTGTGGCACTGCAAGTTTCCTTCATGACGAAATTAAAGAGCAATTTGTGATCGCAGGCCATAGGCAGTTCCATTTCCTCAGCAATGCGTGACCACCACTCATCCTTGCAGCGCCTCACGGCTCTCCGAACCTCCGAGCGAAGGCTGCGGTAAGCCTCCTCATTCTCTGATGTGGGATGTTGTAGATGACAGTGGGCCTGTCGCTTTTTCTTAGCTAGCCCGAACACCTCCTCTGTCGGCCAGGGTCTCTGGGGAGGTCTGAACCGTGTACCCAAAGTAGCCATTGCAGCTGCATGAGCCATAGTCCTAAACCTCGCCCATTTCCCCTCGACATCAGGAGGAGTGGGGGACGATGCCAACCCCAGCCGCAAGCAATGATGAAATTCTCGCTTGCAACTTTCATCAGCTAGCTGAGACCATGCCACTAATGGATTGAATGGGGTCCTGGGTGTACACCCACCTCCGGAGTGGAAGAATGGCAGGCACATCTTACAGATGACTAGTCGATGGTCAGAGGGTAGATCAGCTCCATGGTAGGTCCTGGTGTCAAGGACATGGGCTCGCTTCCGCTTTTCCGTCACTATGTAGTCCAGCAGATATTCTTGCTTGGACCCGGCATGCATCCATGATGTTGTGTGGATGCGCCGATGCCGGAACAGCGTGTTGGTAATTACAAGCCCATGGGCTGCACAAAAATCTAGCAGCCTCCTGCCGTTGTTATTGAGCTGATCTGGCCCATGCCTTCCAATCACTCCAGACCAGGTGCCAGCATCATGACCAACTCGGGCATTGAAGTCACCCAACAAGATCACTCTATCCCAAGGGGCCACTTTAGCTAGCACCTGTGACAGGAGGTCATAGAAGGCATCTGACTCATCGGCCTTACCTGCATCCCTCCACAGATGTTCGTCTTCGGTGGGGGCATAAGAAACCACGACCACCACTCCTCACCCCTGGTTGATGGGAACGCGAGCCTGGGGCTTAGAGCTTCCTACACCTCACCGCCATGCTCCCACGCCCACTTCATTCTTTTGTTCAGAAGAAGAGCCACACCCTGTCGTTTGGCAGTCTCCTGCCCCGAGTAGAGGACTGTCCACCCCTCATGGTGGCAGGAGCCAGAGCCAGTCCACCGGACCTCCTGAATACCACAGAGATCCAGGCGGTACCGGTCCAGCTCCCGACAGAGGAGTGGCAGCCTCTCCTCTGCAGTGAGCATTCGAACATTCTACATGGCCACACGTAGCGGTTTTGTTGCTGTTTCTGCACATACACACACACGTACACACACACGCGCACGTGTACGTACACACGCGCACGTGTACGTACACACGCGCACGTGTACGTACACACGCGCACATATACGTACACACGCGCGCGTACGTATGTACACACACACGCGTACGTACAAGCACGCGCACGTGTACGTACACACACGCGCGCACATGTACGTATATACACGTGTACGTACACACACACACGCGCGCGCGCGCACGTGTACGTACACACACAGGCGCGTACGTACACACACACAGGCGCGCACATACACACACACACGCGTGTACGTACACACACACACAGGTGTGTACGTACACGCGTGTGTGTGTGTACGTACGTGCGTGGTCGGCTGTGCGCGTCTGGCCGGAGCGGAAGCTGCCAGTGCGCCGCAGGGAGTCGCCGTGCCCCAGCCAGCCCGCGGGGATCCCCGCCGGAGCCGGCGGCGGCGGTGGCGGCACCGCCGTCCCCGCCGGCGGCGGGAGGGCCGGGCCCGGATCGGCGCCAGCGTCGGGGCCGTAGCGTGGGGCCCCTCCTGAGGCCGCTTCCTCTGTCAACAACAACAACAATAAACAATAACAAAGAACAATAAACAACAACAACAACAACACACAGAGTGTCGGGGCAATTGGCTCGGTCAACACAAAGATCCCCACCACCATGTGGTTGAACACCCGGTAGTAGTAGTGGTGGTAATGGTGGTGGTAGTGGTGGTGGTAATGGTGGTGGTAGTGGTGGTGGTGGTAGTGGTGGTAGTGGTGGTAGTGGTGGTAGTAGTGGTGGTGGTAGTAGTGGTGGTAGTGGTGGTAGTGGTGGTGGTCGTCAGAGGTAGTAGTGGTAGTAGGTGTGGTAGTAGTGGTGGTGGTAGTGGTGGTGGTAGTGGTGGTGGTAGTAGTGGTGGTAGTAGTGGTGGTAGTGGTGGTAGTAGTGGTGGTGGTAGTGGTGGTAGTAGTGGTAGTGGTGGTAGTAGTGGTAGCGGTGGTAGTAGTGGTAGTAGTGGTAGTGGTGGTAGTGGTGGTGGTAGTGGTGGTCGTCAGTGGTAGTGGTGGTAGTGGTGGTAGTAGTGGTAGTGGTGGTAGTAGTGGTGATAGTAGTGGTGGTAGTAGTGGTGGTCGTCAGTGGTAGTGGTGGTAGTGGTGGTAGTAGTGGTAGTGGTGGTAGTAGTGGTGGTCGTCAGTGGTAGTGGTGGTAGTGGTGGCAGTAGTGGTAGTGGTGGTAGTGGTGGTAGTCAGTGGTAGTGGTGGTAGTGGTGGTGGTAGTAGTGGTGGTAGTAGTGGTGGTCGTCAGTGGTAGTAGTGGTGGTGGTTAGTGGAAGTAGTGGTGGTAGTTAATGGTAGTAGTGGTGGTAGTTAGTGGTAGCAGTGGTAGTAGTGGTGGTGGTAGTTAGTGGTAGTAATGATAATAGTGGTAGTATTAGTAGTGGTAGTAGTAGTGGTTATAATGGTAAGTGGTAATCGTGGTAGCAGTAGTGGTACTGGTAATAGTGGGAGTATTTGCAGTAATGGTAGTCGTAGTATTGGTAGTAATGGTAATAGTGGTAGTAGTAGTAGCAGTAGTCGTACTGGTAGTAGTGGTAGTAGTGGTGGTGGTAGTAGTAGTGTTATAGGTAGTAGTAGTAATAGTAGTAAGTAGTAATAGTGGTAGTAATAGTGGTAGTAGTGGTAGTAGTAGTGGTATTAATAGTGGTAGTAATAGTGGCAGTAGTAGTGGTATTAATAATGGTAGTAATAGTGTAGTAGTGGTAGTAATAGTGGTATTAATAGTAATAGTGGTAGTAGTAGTAATAGTAGTTGTGGTAGTAATAGTGGTAGTAGTAGTGGTATTAATAGTGGTAGTAGTAGTGGTATTAATAGTGGTTGTAGTAGTGGTAGTAATAGTAATAGTGGTTGTAATAGTGGTAGTAGTAGAAATAGTAATAGTGGTAGTAATAGTGGTAGTAGTCGTAGTAGTAGTGGTAGTAATAGTGGTAGTAATAGTGGTAGTAGTGGTAGTACTAGTTATAGTGGTAGTAATAGTGGTAGTAGTAGTGGTAGTAATAGTGGTAGTAGTGGGAGTAGTAGTGCAAGTAGTAGTGGTAGTAATAGTGATAGTGGTAGTAGTGGTAGTAATAGTGGTAGTAGTGGTAGTAATAGTAGTAGTGGTAGTAATAGTGGTAGTGGTAGTAATAGTAGTAGTGGTAATAATAGTGGTAGTAGTAGTGGTAGAAGTAGTGGTTGGAATAGTGGTAGTAGTAGTAATAGTAGTAGTGGTAGTAATAGTGGTAGTAGTAGTAGTGGTAATAATAGTGGGAGTAGTAATAGTGGTGGTAGTAGTAGTGGTAGTAACAGTGGTAGTAATAGTAGTAATAGTGGTCGTAATAGTTATAGTGGTAGTAATAGTGGTAGTAGTAGTGGTAGTAATAGTGGTAGTAGTAGTGGTAGTAGTGATAGTAAGAGTGGTAGTAGTAGTGGTAGTAGTAGTGGTAGTAATAGTGGTAGTAATAATGGTAGTAGTGGTAGTAATAGTGGTAGTAGTGGTAGTAGTAGTGGTAGTAGTAGTAGTAGTAATAGTGGTAGTAGTAGTAATAGTGGTAGTAATAGTAGTAGTGGTAGTAATAGTAATAGTGGTAGTAGTAGTGGTAGTAATAGTGGTAGTAGTAGTGGTAGTAATAGTGGTAGTAAGTGGTAGTAGTAATGGTAGTAATAGTGGTAGTAAGAGTGGTAGTAGTAGTGGTAGTAGTAATAGTGGTAGTAATAGTGGTAGTAGTGGTAGTAATAGTGGTAGTGTGGTAGTAATAGTGGTAGTAGTGGTAGTAATAGTGGTAGTAGTAGTAATAGTGGTAGTAATAGTGGTAGTAGTAGTGGTAGTAATAGTAGTAATAGTGGTAGTAATAGTAGTAGTGGTAGTAATAGTGGTAGTAGTGGTAGTAATAGTGGTAGTAATAGTAGTAGTAATAGTAGTAATAGTGGTAGTAATAGTAGTAGTGGTAGTAATAGTGGTAGTAGTGGTAGTAATAGTGGTAGTAATAGTAGTAGTGGTAGTAATAGTAGTAGTAATAGTGGTAGTAGTAGTGGTAGTAACAGTGGTAGTAATAGTAGTAATAGCGGTAGTAATAGTAGTAGTGGCGGTAGTACTAGTTGGGGCTTTCGTCACCAATGTTATCCATAGGAGAGGTGTTTTTTGTTTGTTGGGTCAGCTCGTGTGAACGCTATAACAACAACACGAATATAAACGTGCGTCGTTAAACCTGCCACCACCAGCACCACCGCCCGGCACGGCCGATTCGTAAGGGAGTCCGTCACGTAAACAAAACGAGTTCAGCACGAGCCGGCGTATTGGAGAGTAAGCCCACAAGCAGAACATTTAAAATCTGTGATGTTTCTCCACTGCTCCCCATACAAACAAATTGGAAACGGAGATCAATCACACCCTTTGGGGTTCTCATCCAAAACTAAACTTTTTTTAAAAAAAATTTTGCAATGCCCCACTGAGCCGCAATGTCGCCCTTTTTCAATAAGTGTACCTGGCCATCACAAATGACAGCTCAACGATAGTGGCTTATCACCATCATCATTGCCACGGGGACATTCACAGCAACGGTCAAAGACTCCTCTCTCTCTCTCAACGCGTGACGTGGGGGGGGGGGAAACCAAGGGACCGACCCAGAGATAAATCCACTCGACCACCACGGGGGTCAAGTGCTGCTCGCGAGTAGCAGCACCTTACGTAGGCCGCAAGGGGGTGGGGGGGGGGTGGCCGGCAACCGCGCCCGGCCGCCTTTGTCTCCCTCGTGGCGATGTTTTACGCACAGCACCGGCCAGCTAAGCAATTTGTTGAGGCCGAGTCGACCCTAGGGGATGGCCCAGGAGAGGTTGGGGGGGGGGGGGGTGGGAATGGCGGGGGGGGGGGGGTGTTAAAAAAATCGTCACCGGCGTTTGTGGTGGCCGTGACCAAGAATGAAACTCGGGTGTCTGCCGGGTTCCGGGCGCAGCGCGCCAACCGCTACGCCACCACTCCCCGCTCGCGCGCACGCTCACGCGCACACTCACGCACGCACGGATGAGTGTGCGCGTGCGTGCGTGCGCGCGCGCGCGCGTTTCCACGTGTCAGCAGCGCCCGGCCGCATTGTTCATGGACGCACGCCCATCGCGAGGTTTGCGTGCGACGGGACGATAACTCTCACGGGCTGTCAGCGCCGGGTTCCGCCACACACCGCACGGTTCGCGCTATCCCAGAATGCCTTGCTGCTGCTGCTGCTGCCACCTTCCCACCGGTGTGCGGGGCGACGGGAGGAGGGGGAGGGTTGTGTCGGGGTGGGGGGGGAAAGGAGCCTGGGTTCGAATCCTGGGTCGGAGTGCGATGAGTCTATGGGTCTCTCTGTGTGATGAGTCTATGGCTCTCTGTGTCATGAGTCTGTGGGTATCTGTGTGATGAATCTGTGGGTATGTGTGATGAGTCTATGGGTCTCTCTGTGTGTGAGTCTATGGGTCTCTGTGTGATGAGTCTATGGGTCTCTGTGTGATGAGTCTATGAGTCTCTGTGTGATGAGTCTGTGGGTATGTGTGATGAGTCTATGGGTCTCTCTGTGTGATGAGTCTATGGGTCTCTGTGTGGCGAGTCTGTGGGTCTCTGTGTTGTGAGTCTATGGGTCTCTGTGTGGCGAGTCTATGGGTCTCTGTGTGGCGAGTCTATGGGTCTCTGTGTGATGAGTTTATGGGTCTCTGTGTGATGAGTCTGTGGGTCTCTATGTGATGAGTCTATGGGTCTCTGTGTGATGAGTCTATGGGTCTCTTGTGTGATGAGTCTATGGGTCTCTGTGTGATGAGTCTATGGGTCTATGTGTGATGAGTCTATGGGTCTCTTGTGTGATGAGTCTGCGTCTCTCTGTGTGATGAGTCTGTGGGTATCTGTGTGATGAGTCTATGGATCTGTGTGATGAGTCTATGGGTCTCTGTGTGATGAGTCTATGGGTCTCTGTGTGGTGAGTCTGTGGGTCTCTGTGTGATGAGTCAGTGGGTCTCTTGTGTGATGAGTCTATGGGTCTCTGTGTGATGAGTCTATGGGTCTCTGTGTGGTGAGTTTATGGGTCTCTGTGTGATGAGTCTGTGGGTCTCTGTGTGATGAGTCTATGGGTCTCTGTGTGATGAGTCTATGTGATGAGTCTGTGGGTCTCTTGTGTGACGAGTCTATGGGTCTCTGTGTGATCAGTCTATGGGTCTCTGTGTGATGAGTCTATGGGTCTATGTGTGATGAGTCTATGGGTCTCTGTGTGGTGAGTCTATGGGTCTCTTGTGTGATGAGTCTATGGGTCTCTGTGTGATGAGTCTGTGGGTATCTGTGTGATGAGTCTATGGGTATCTGTGTGATGAGTCTATGGGTATCTGTGTGATGAGTCTATGGCTCTCTGTGTGATGAGTCTATGGGTCTCTGTGTGATGAGTCTGTGGGTATCTGTGTGATGAGTCTATGGCTCTCTGTGTGATGAGTCTATGGGTCTCTGTGTGATGAGTCTGTGGGTATCTGTGTGATGAGTCTATGGGTCTCTGTGTGATGAGTCTGTGGGTCTCTGTGT